CTGGTAGAGGGGGGGGGGGTGTGAGACACAAATAAAGGAGGAATTAGTTGTACTTAAAGTAAATGGCCCAAAGTAGTGAGTGGAGTGCCCCAGGGTTCTGTCTGGGGGCCAATTCTGTTTAGCATGTTCATAAATGACATTGACGTTGGAACACATAGCTCACTGTCGGTGTTTTGCTGACGATACGAAGTTGTGCATGGAAATAAGATTGCAACATGACATAGAATACCTGCAGCAAGACTTGGATAAAATTGGGGAGTGGGCAGCTATGTGGCAGATGAGCTTTAATCTACAAAAATTTTAAGTAATGTACTTGGGAGCTAAGAACATGCATGCTGAATACACCTCATGGGGGGGTTTCACCGGGGAAAATGGTGATGGAGAAGAATCTTGGGGTGCTTATAGATCACAGACTCAGTAATAGCATACAGTGCTAAGCTGCAGCTAATAAAGCCAGTAATATATTATCTTGCATCAAAAGAGGGATTTATTCATGGGATAGAAATATGATTTTGCCCCTTTACAAAACACTGGTAAGGCCCCCATCTTGAATATGTGGTGCAACTCTGGTCACCAATCCTCAGGAGGGATGTCCATGAGCTAAAAAAGGTTCAGAGAAGGGCAACCAAATTAAAAGGGGGATGGATGGATGGTCTGAGTTATCAAGAAAGCCTACAAAAATTAGGATTGTTCTTCTTAGAGAAGAGGAACTTAAGAGGTGACATGATCACAGTTTACAAACTCATCAGTGGGGGACTGCGGTATTGGGAACGCACACTACTTAAACCAAGGTCACAACAAGAAGTTGCGTCAGGGGTATTTTACTTTGAGATAGGTACAGATGTGGAATTCACTACCACAGATAGCTGTATCAGCGGGAAACATAAACTGCTTCAAAAAACACTTGGATGTGTTCCTCAGTTCACAAAACATACAGGGTTATTGAAATTCTGAGGATCATACACACACAAACCATACAGGTTGAACCTCACCTCACCTACTATGTAACTATGTGTGATTCTTATTTGTAGAAAAATTTCAATATAAAAATTGAATGTAGAACAAAAGTAATATATCATCATCCAGAGAGCCATTGACATTAATCCTGTAAGTTTCATTGAAATAAGCTAAGTTAGATGCTCAAGGCCAGAAGCAAACAGCTGTACAAAGTAGAAATTAACTGCCTAAGAAGAGAGTAGAGCAATGGGAGAAAATCTCACTGGAATCAAGTGTGAGTCGCTTGTGTGTTAATTGAGTTGTACTGCATATTGCCAAAGGAGATACCCGAAGAAAATGGCTTTGGGAGATTAAATTCTTTCAAATGTAAAAAAATATTCTAAATGGTTTTTCTGGCTGCACATAAGAAAGACACAATATACCATTATTTTCCCAGATGTGTAAGTCTGACAGTGCATTAACCCATAGCCTGAGGATTTGCAGTTTTTAGCACAACCATCTTTTTGTTTTTGTTTTTTAATGACAGCTCTTCTGCCAGGCACTTATACTCATGGCCCTCAGTTGTTTTGGAGTTTTGCCATAAATGTGGTATTTCCACAGACAATGACCCTATTATTTTCTAGAAAGAAACCTGCTGCTCACTGCAGTTTGGTATATGAAGGAGATAAACCACCATATTTTTATCATGGACAGACAAGAAATTGACAAAAATATTGTCTACCAAGCAAACTACACTCTAAGTCCAACTGGTCATATTGTGCAATATTGTATAAGCACAAATTACCTTTAGTGAAAATATCTATGAGGGTTATTCACAAAGCTAGCCGAAGGATCATCCGTAGCTCCTGCCGAACCTTCACAGCTGGCTCCACTCAGTTGCAATGACGGATCAGCCTCCCCAGGTTACCTGTGTGAACACCATGTGGCGGCGGCAGAAGTTTTATACATGATGCCCACAGAGTTCTCTTTATAAAAACTAGAGAAAAGAATATTCTCCAGAAATGTGCCCACAAAGACTAATTGTGTTTCCTATTTTAATTTTAGAAAACAAAATGCATGTATAATTATGTATGTGTACTTAATTCAGTGATCTGGTAATGCCTTCTTAATGTAGGTGTGAGATACCCAGGAGTTGGTGTTCTTCCTGGAGTGGCAACAGGGAATGGAGTGAAGCAGAAACCTCAAGGTGAGGCTGGAAAATGCTCTTGTTCCCTTCATAAGTAATTTTTTATGCCTTTAAAGCTGTTGTTATTAATTTGAAGAAACATTTCTATATGCTTGACTGCATTTGCAAAAGGGAAATAAGTAGTCATTATCTACTAATGTCAGGATCCAGAGCACCCCCAGGTGGCGCTGGAGCCAGGTCCTGCAGTTCCTGTGCTCGCCTGCGGGTGTCTCCAGCAGCCAGTGACTGTAAGGAACCTGCAGCTCCAGTACTCACCTGCGGGTGTGCCCCAGCTGTGAGTGATCATCCCATCACCTGGTGCTTCCTGGGAGGGTATTTAGGCCCTCCCTGCAGTCAGGAAGCTGGCTCAGTATTGTGTCGCCTGCACTTGACTGCTACCTGAACCCAGCTACCTGAACCCAGCTACCTGAACCCAGCTACCTGAACCCAGCTACCTGAACCCAGCTACCTATATACAGACCTGTCACCGACCCGGCTTGTTACCCGACCACTCTTCTTGGATCCTGTTTCTGTACCGTGCTGCCCTCCTGTTAACGACCTGGCTTGTACCTGACCATTCTTCCTAAATCCTGTACTGTGCTGCCCTCCTGTTAACCCTCCTTGTTACTTCACTGCTAAACCTGTGGGGGGTTGAGGGGGTTAGTAGTTTTGTTTGATGGTAACAAATAAACTGTGCATAGAACCCTATCCTGTGTGGGCATATTAATTTGGTCATCCTGCGTGGGTACCTGCATGAGGTGTGAGGACGCCTGTACACGGTACCCTGACAACTAATTAGATCCACAAGAAGCATAGATGTGTTACTCAAAACGTTGAACTGTTATATTTCTATTCAGAACAATAAACAGTACTATATGGTAATGCACATTTTCCATTTTCAGTCTTGGCCTTTCCATGATCTTCTCCAAATAATTTTCCCATTCAAACTAATAAAAAGAGTTAAAGTGGAACTATGAGCTCAAACAAAAATTACATAAATGATGCACTCTGTCACTTGTATTAACATAGCATTTTGTTTTGTTTTTCTAAGTGCCCCTGTAACATAGTTTTTTACCTGTTGATCCTGCCACTAGATCCTTTGATTTTCTACTTCCTGTAATAGGGTGACAATGCTCTTTGTTCTGTCACTGCGGCGTTGCTTCCTTGGACAGGGTAGACTTGGATGCACCTTTTGAAAAAAAGCTTAAACCAAATGAATAAAGCTGGCCATTGTAAGAACCTCTGTCAATAAAATAGTTTATCTCAACTGTACGTTTGCTGGATAGTTTGTATTACATGTAAACTTAAAGAAAAATATAAATTAAGACATGTGAAAAAAAATCCATATACTATCATTACAGGTTTTGACAAAATAGACTTACCAGAATATTTTTCACTATAGTTGGCCTTTAAAGTTTGGTCTCATTTGTCACGCTTCAAAAAGAGAAACTATAGTGTTTCTGTATGCATTTTCCTTTTTGCTATTTTATGGTTAAAATGAAAACAGCTCAATGAGAGGAAGAACACATGCCTTGCCTGTCTGCTACCTCATACCCCCTTGTATGGCTTTTCTCTTAAAGGCAGTTAGTTAACAAATGAGAAGGTGGTGCTGGGCTTTCCTCTTTGAAATCCCAGCATGTTCTGCAACCTAGATATTTTGGGAGAATTACAATTTGTCTTATTAATATAGGATTAACCAAAGGCCTGTAAAGTTCCACTTGAATTTGACTAAACGCATAGAAGTACATTACAAATGACACTTTGAATTAGGGTGTTACCAAAGTTATTAGATCTCTTTTGTGCTATTATACATTCAATATACTGTATGTATATGTTACCAAAGTTATATATACTATCCACATAACCTCTGTAGATACAATGTTGTCTTTTGAAGAAAGCAGTCACCCAACATTCAGGTATTTTCTATTGGTTTATCCAGAATACTTAGTACTACTTGGTGTATACCTATACTTGGTAAATACCTTTTTTTTTTACTCACATAATGCATTTATAATAGATCTTGTTATTTTGAGATAATTAATTTCTGGTTTGTTCTTTTTTTCTAGCTGGTGGTGGAGCTTTGGGTGGAATACCTGGTAAGCCTACAGATAATGTTCCTTATGACAGCATAGCACTAAATTAATCTAGATGAATACTAGATAAAAGGTAGAGATTCTGTAAAAGTTGTTAAACCACGTAAAATTCAAAAGGTTAGTATTTTGTGAAGCAGAAGCTGTTTGTGTTGCCCATAACAGCCAACCAGATTCTTATGAACCTCAAATGATTTGATAAACAAAAGAAGAATGTTCCCAAAAAACACATGATCACAGTATGCTCTTGTGGAGGAGTTTTTCCAAAAGTAACTTTACATACAGGAAAATATTTTGAACACAAGTTAGCTATTGATTTATTTTATAAATTTTTGTACTATTTCAACAAATCTAGAGAATAATGCCATAATCCCTAACCCTGATAGTCAGTGTTTGAGAAATAATTGCACTAGTTAACATTTTTTGAATGAGGAAGCGGGTGCCGAGAGCATGTTGTTTTTCCTTTACTGCGCCCTGTCCTCATTTCAGAGCCAATACAGATAAAGGGCCAAGGAAGAGATGGGGCTATTGCTGCACAGATAGTTGCCCAGCTTATAACACTATCAAAACAAGGAGCTAAAGAAGGAAACCAAACCCTATGCAGTTTCTGCTCACCATGTTGTTTTATACTTTTCAGCCTATCTTTACAGCTATAGCAATTTCCCTATGCGAGCCCCAGTTATATAACAAGAAGTTTTGGTCTCTAACCTTTTACAATGATGTAATGTGCCATTATGAGATACAGTCAAGCTCATCATTATACATCAAGAATGCATTACTGAAGATGACAAATAAACTGTGTTCTTGGAATGGGAATTCCTCTAACATTACTGTTTATGAATGCATTTTGGAAAATATTCCCAGTGCCTGTACTTTGTTTGTTTCCATCTATCTCCATATATAGAATAAAAGAACTCAAAGCTAAAGAATGTATTTATTAATGTATTATAGAAAGTATTCTCTGTGACCATATGTTTATTTGTTACTCTGTGTCTCCTTATATAGAATTAAATAATCCAAAACTGAAGTAACTAAGCAATAGCCTGCTTTTATTCTTCAGATGTTGCAGAATGCAATCTTCTTGATGCTTTGATTAATGGTCATCTGTGCATTAAGAAAATATAGGGTGGCAGCTATTCAAAATTTGAATGTTGTGTGATGAAAATATAAATCTTATGAAATAATCATCTATATATCTGTTTGACACGCTTACGCGTATAACTATGATGTGCTACTGATGTCTAATATCAGAAATGACTAGTGTTAAAAACCAACCCTAGGATAGGGAAGGGTTATACCCCTGTCAGGTTTTCATTCCTGTATGTGTCCTTTTGGGAGATTTCATTCACTTCTTGAAAGTGTTTTTGCTGGAACTGTGCTTTAAAAGATTAACACATTTTCATACATTATTTATTTTCATTTTAAGGCTTTGGTGGATTTGGTGGACAGCAGCCTGGTGTACCTCTAGGGTATCCTATTAAAGCACCTAAGCTACCAGGTATGTACAGTGTATTTCAATAACTGGATGCATACGCATTTCAAAGGTCATTGCCATTTTAATCAGTATTTAAAATGCCACTTAACTTGTTTGATATGTTTCTTGTGGTAAGACAGGGTATATAAAAAAAGGTTGAATTGAGCAAAATAAAAGGGAAGAGATGAGTTAGTCATTGCTTAAATTGAATTTCACAGGTGGTAATTAGAACATTAAATCTAGCTTTGTGAAGAATGCACAGTTTTTTTGCAAATTCATATCAACTTTGGCATAGACCAGGGCAATGAATCTGCTGAAATATTCAAAATAAGTGCCAAGTTTTACCCTTTTGTAATTTTGACAACACATGCAAATTGTTATACGATTAAAGCGGTGAGGGTAATGATTTTGGGAAATCCTCACTACAAACTCTTGTCAGTTGCTATAATAGAAAGAAGAGAAATTAAATTTTCTCTCCTCTGTGCTATAAAACAGAGATGAGAAAGTAGAATTTTATATGGCCGTATAAACACAGTTATAAAAGGCAAAAGGAATTTACTACTACATATGTAAATATGACAATTTTCCAACCCATACATAGCAGCTTATAGAACTGGTAAGGTTGTTTAAATTACAGATGAGAAATCCAGATATACCACATCTACCGGCCTCCCTCCATCCATATCTCTACTCACCCCCTCATAAAAAGTTAGCAAGTTAGTTAGGCAGGAACGGTCTTTCCTGAACCCATGCTGATTGTCATTAACTATCCCGTTTTCCTGAACAAATTCTACCAGATAATCCTTTATTATGCCCTCTAGCATTTTACAAACTACCGATGTTAGACTGACCGGCCTATAGTTCCCAGGTTGGCACCTAGCCAACATCTTATAATTATAATAAATGTTGTAAATTCTACTATGTAAAGTTGCTGCCTCATTCTGAGACCAGAAATTCATATGTGGAATTTTGACACCACAACACTTTGCTGTTTTTATGTGGAAGGATAAGGAAGAGCTTCTGGTGTATGACCAGGGCCAGCTTATCATGACTGTGCTCCTTTTCAATAAGAGATTCCCGCTGTCTAGAAACAAAAACATTTGAAATTTCTCTATGTGTGATGGTGAAGATGGACATAGTGCAGGGCTGTTTTGACAGCTGTGTGAGTTAGCTATTCAGGTGTAAACAGGACAGGAATTAAGCAAAAGAACCTCGGAACATTCCTTTTTGGGATACCAGCAGTGAGAATATATTCCAACACACTGATAACAGGAAAATTAACTTTTTATTTATGCCGAATGATACAAATAACAATAATAATGAAAGTAGTTAATTAATGCATACCTAGTTCTAACAGCATCAATTAACTGGATAGTGGATTTATTTTCCATGTAAGGCATTATTCAAGGTGGTCAAAATGGCATACAGTATGTAATGCAGTCTGTCAATAACAATAACAATGCAGTTATCCTGAGTCCACCCTCAACATTGTTCTATCCTCTTGATCCTGCCAGTAGATCTGTTCTATTGCTCTCTTTGGTGCTCTCAGCGCTTCCTGCTTCAGAGCTGGCAGAACCGGCTGAAGTGCCGGTTACACCGACGATCAAGCACATTCCTGTATTGGAGGGCAGGGGAGACATCAGGGATATATTAGACCCCTGATGTTTCCATAAAGACAACTTGTCACCTACCAATGCTCTCACATAGGCAGTTGTTAACCCCTTTTGTGATAGCAAAAGTTAAGTGATAAAAAAAAGGTGATTAAAAAAACCCCAATAAAATAAAAATAAAAAAAACTAAACCCACCAATCTGAAATGACTAAGTGAACCAAATTAACAAGTGCACATAGGTCATGCACGTGTATGCAAACATGGGGGGAGTTCTAACAAAAAGATTACAAAAATTAAACAGTGTGATGCGCCAATCTTGGGTGCTGTGTCTCGGAACACACACCAGTAGCTGTACATTGTAGTGCAGCTGCTGGTATGAATGCAGCCTAAATGGTGGATCATCTAGGCGAGAATTATGTGTTCCATTCCTGGTGCCTCATGGCATAGCACGTTGCATATCCCAGGAGGTGTCGGCTTCCATACAACAGATGGAGGGGGAGGACAAGTCTGAAGGCACATCACCAGGGGTTGGCTGCCCGAACCAAAAAGAGACAGTTATCTCCTGATGACATCAAGGAAGAAGATGTCAGCGCAGGACCCAACTTGTGGCAGCGGAACACAGATTTCAGCAGGACAACGCTGGATTTGCTGGGTGTGTGAGTATGTAAATTAAGGACAACTCGACATTATGTAAGAGGGGATTTAAAAACAAAAATTAAACTGGAGGGCGTGAAGTCCCTTTTAAATTGCACCACTTTTAAATATATGCTGCATGCATTGAAGCTTTTCTTTTAACCCCTGACTACTGGGCCCCATAGCAGTTTCCTGATTGTTATTACCTAGTCAGTTTAGAACTATATAAATGCCTGGCCAAAAAGACAAAGTCACACAAAGTAATCCATAGGTCCATCTTTAGCTTTGATTATGGCATGCATTCGCCATCACATTGTTTTGATAAGCTCATGCTCTATGAACCACTCTTTCACAATGTGAGTCTAAATCCATTGAAAAACGTAGTCATTCTTAGTATTATACTAGGCAGCTGACCTTATTTTTGGGGGACATAACACTGCTGAACCTAGACCTGACTAACTGAAGCAACTCCAGATCATAACACTTATCCTATTTGCTTAGCTAAATCCAGGTGACTTTTTTTGGGGCCAGACATATATATTTATACAGAGAGAGAGATCCTCATGAAGTTGACTATTTGCTTTTTTCTAGGAGGATATGGGGTTCCGTATACGTCAGGAGGACCTGGAGGTATGTATACCTATAATGTATTCACTTCCCTGGGGATCTCTAAAGAGGCTACAATAGCCTTACAAATGTACTAAGCCAGGAACAAAACTTAATAGCAAAAAAGCCATTTGGAAAAAACAATGTTATGTCAACGTAGCGAAGCACACTGTTCTGCTTTGTCGGTAATGAGAAGGAAACATTGTGCAGGCTCGGGCCGAAGCCTGTGCGAGTGGAGAAATAAATAAACTCTTATTATTATTTCACTATATTTCCTGGCATGCACAGCTTCTTTTTCGGTGTAAAATGTGTTTCTATACAAGCATATGCCGCAACATTCAAAATATGTAAGAGAAAGGAGTCTGCAGTGTGTCTGGCCAATATGAAAATAATTTATAACTTGCTGTGACATGTAATGAGTGTGGCTGACATTAATAGCCTTCTAATCTACACCATTCTCCTAGCAGAGACATGAGAGGTCTGACCCAGGAGCTTGAGGTTTGACTTCTGCTGAAGCGCAGAACCGTGCTCATTTGTATATAACATGCTGCCTATGTATAACAGGACGACTGCCTATATTTCCACCACTGAATATTGCTACTTTTGACAGTTTTGGAATGTCAATATATAACATATGGCAGGGATGTTTTAAGTAGAGATAAAACTAGCGGTGATTGAATGGGGGGTTAGCAAGCTTTCCAAGTCATGACACACCCATTTAAGACATCAAATTATTGTCACAATTATGAGCATGTACTGCTGTATTGTGTAAAGGCAAACTAGACTGAGGGAGATTTATGAAGCACAGTAGTGACACATTTAGGCATACATCAGGCTGCTTCTCGTATAGCAAACTGTTTGCAACAGTTTTTTTGGGAATTCGCAAGCCCTGTGTCTGCAGCCCTGGGCAGCACACTGCTATGGTTCTGCAAAGATCTGCAATGGATTAACCAACGTAGTTGAAACTGAATTCTGAGCACAACAATTGTAATTTAAATATATCCCTTAATAGCCAAAAGGATATAAATTCGCCTTATATGCACCAAATGCCTTTGCCAACCCAGGTATTACTTAAAAGTAATGGAGTCATCATCACTGTGCTGCACATTTCCTGTGCAGAAAGCAGGGCTGTGGGAGGGACCCAGCAGGCCCCACCCACTACAGCCAGCCTACAAAAATCTACAGGAGAGGGCGGATACAAGACCAGTCACCTAGCACAAGGAAAGAGAGCAGCAGTGGCCAGTCTTTATTACAGGAAGCTCCTGCACAGGCAAAGTTTCACACTTGATTACTATACACATTCTTACTGCTCCTGCTTTGCAATGCTTCATGACAGATGTCCATCAGTGTAATTTAAAGTTTGAAATACAGCCGCCTATTCCTTACATCCAAGCAATGTTCCATTTTAGCCTGTATTTAGATTACAGTTGCCATTGTGCTGCACATGTGATTAGCAATCACACTGGTCATATGAGGGCTTGAAATTTCAGTTGAGAGCTCTAATAAGCCCAGTGGCAACAATGAAAGTTGTCCTAAAATCCCAAAACAGAACACTAAAATAAACTCAAGTAATTTTAAATTCTAAGTATGAACTTGTACATGACCTAACAAGCCCACTAAACCAGGCCTTTCAGCAAGTTTTAAACATTTTTGTAAAAGCAGCTGTACAGATACCCACATACTAAGGGCATGGCTACCATGAGGCGAGTGAGGTGAGGTGATCACTCCAGTGTTTGTAAATAACTGGGAACACATAGTACTATGTGTCACCAGTTATGAATGAACCGGAAGCGTTTTACATCACTTCTTGTTCATCCATGAATTTTTCAATGGATGGAAGCACTCACTACAGAGGCTTCTACCCATTGATAACTGGATGATAGTAAATATTTTACTATCACCAGTTTCTGAATGAATGGGAAGCCTCTGTTCTGAGTGCTTTCCATTCATTGAAAACAGAGGAACACACACACACACACACACACTCATGCACAAATATTATTAGACAGGTGCAAAGACTACACATTTGTTTCGGACAAAATGAACGGAAACTAAAAATGTTTTTATTAGGTTCGGCAAACGAAACAAATTTTTATGCTATTTTAGATTTAGCCACCAGAGCATTCTGCACATGCGCGCCGCCATCCTGGCTTTGGGTGACATCACACGTCTGTTGAGGGGGCACAATTTTCTGTTCTTGACTCGGGCGCAAAAGGAGCTAGCTACAGCTCTGTACATACTGTTCCTGAGTATCTTTGTTTTACGCATGGTTTACCACTGCCAATACCAGTTGAGACTGCCAACCTTACATTAGCTAGATTATTACATACTAAGCCCGGTTTTTGATATTTAAAAGTGACAGCTTATTAACAAAATGTTCATTCTGCATTGTAGGTTATGGTGCTGGTGCTTTGGGAGCTGGTGGCAAAGCTGGATATCCTACAGGAACTGGTATGTATTAGACAGGGTGTCTATTTGTTATGCCACAATTCCTCAAATGTATGTGTTTGAGATGTTTAAGGGGTAACATTACCTGGCAAATAAAGGAAATATGTACTTAGGGAATATGTAGGCTGCCACTGTTGACCTATCTCTGGAAAATGCTAGTTGACTGTCATGCTGATCCAATGGCTTCCTGTGTAAATACCAAAAGTATAGAGAACAAGAGTTTGGACTTTATTTTGATCTTTTCATTTCTGTGATTTCTAGATCAGTGTATCACAGTCAGGAACTGAAGTCTGAGACAGCCAGGCATTTAATACTTTCAGAAGGAGGTCTACATTGCACTAAAAGTACTGGCTTAGTTTAAATCCATAATAAAAGTTCAACATGTACCTGTTGACATTCTCACAATGTTAAACTGTCTGCTGACTCCCTGTTTATGTATTCTGCTCCTTTTCAATAACCCTATATGCTATGTGGTGGAAATTGCAACCACAGGCTGAATGGGCACCATGTAGCCCACATTTTCCCTCCATCTTTGCTTTTATTATTGGCCAGTGGGGTTGTCTATCACATTTGCAGGCCAATAGGAATGTTCAGGTGGAGGAAAGGAGTGAGTCACAATGTAACCATTCAGGCTGTATTCACAGTTTAGCATTATACAGCACATTGCAGTTCTTGAAAAGAAGTAGAATACCCATGCAAGCACCAGGGGGTGACTGCTTTCTATATCAGAAGACAGTTGGTGGCAGTAAGGTTAGCCATGCTTGTAAAAAAAACATTTTATATAAAACACAACAAATGTGTTTATTATATATAGTTATAGTTTTAAAACCATAAGGATTTGGGAATACAGTCTCCAACTAGGATATAATTATTTATCACATAGCCATCTATTTTCCATGACAGAAGTTCAGACTACATAGCAGACTTAGAAATATACATGTGCGTTTCCAGGGTAAATGCAATAAAATGCACAGACATTTGGGGTTGCTAATATAATGATACAATAGGGGTGCTTTGAAAAAAATATAACCTAATAAACGGATACCTAGGTGGTTTATGGCTCCCTGTACAAGATTTTAGTTTGGCGCCTCCAATGACATAAACAGAACATGCTCACTCTTCAATCCCTTTCCATCAAGAATAGTGCTTTGGTGTGCAGAAGCCCTCCCTGACCACCAATGTACTCATTCCTTTTTACAATATTTTCATTATACACAGTATCAGCTTACAGGGCAATAAGACAATTTAAAAAACCAGTGAGGAAAGCGGGAGGAAGACAGGAGGAAGGGAGGGAGGGAATGGAGCAGGCATCTCAACTCTTAATAGAGGGGTGTTACTAGCTCTATACCCAACACTATAAAAAAAAAGCTCCTGGGAAACTCACCTACTTCCATTAAGTTAAACCAACTCATCCTAAAGTGGAACAACCACATGCAACTCACATAAACATTAATATGTACAGATGCGAATGTTATTAGCTTTATCTCTAATGCATTCTTTATATGTAGCTTTTAAAAATGGTTTACAAAGAAAATTCATCAACGGCTACTTCCGACAGGACCATGACCACACAGGCAGCTCATAGCTAGGATTCCAGGTTATGCCATATTATGAGAAAAACAAAATACACACACACATATATATATATATAAACACATTCCAGTGTATTTCCCGAACGTGTTCTGTTTTTGTTTAACCTCTAGTAACCATAGTAAGTACTCCCAAGTTGATTCGCAGTCATATATATCATTTTGGGAGGCTCGCTAACAGGTTTTTTTATGCATGCAAATAAAGTAAACATATAGCATCTGTTTTGAATATTGCGCAGGCCTTTTGCTGAGCAGCTAATTCAAGAAAGTACATACATCGTGGAGAAGTAAAGGGCTGCTAGGAGACAGCAGAATAAGTCAAAGTTGGTGTATTTGTAGACAGGCTATAACTTCTTTGTGTCCATCTTGGCTTGGAGACATGATGGTGACCTCTGTGATCCCAAATGTGTTCTTTTAAATGTGAATTCATTTCCTATGCTCAGCTTTATCCTGTTATGGCAGGATCCCGCTGTTAATGTACGTGAGTGACGTAATAAGAAACAGGTGTTGTACTGATGGCTGTAGAGCCTTGCCAGGACTAATGATTTCTCTCTCTCTCTTTCCTGTGTTTAGGAGTAGGCGCTCAGGCAGCAGCCGCTAAAGCTGCAGCTAAGGCCGCAAAATATGGTGGTAAGTTTCCTTTTCCATTACCTATAATTTATTTCACACGCAATAAATTATACTGAAAGCTGAAATCCAGGTAAATATAAAAGACACAAAATCATGACATGCATTTTTTAAATTCAGCTAGAGTAAGGTAGTAGAATTTGAATTGGTATCAGCCCTTATGCAGCAGTATTCAAACTGTGAGAGGGCGGGGCAAGACTGGGAACCAATTAAGTGTGCTGTATGTAAATGTATTGACAAAGAACATGCTCAAAGAAGCAAAGAGCAGAGTGAGCAGCAAGATGACCTTATCAGTCTGTATCTCCCCTTTCTCTGCTCAGTCAGAAAGCTAGGGGTGGAGATAGCGCACAACTGTATTCTTTAACTGTAAGTGGTGTCATCCTCTTGGCTGTGCTTTGTGAAGGGACTGTGTACATCTCAGATGGACGGAAATACAAATTCTTTGTCAGGTAAAACAGCTCCCATATATGTATATAGATTATTATCTGTGGATTTTTCTTTGTCTAGAGTTCAGCTTTAACACCATTATTTCTGAAGCCATGGAAGTCTTTACCATGTGGTTTTTTGGTGTGTGCCTAACTGGTTCACTATATTAAGATTTTATCTAAAGAAGGCTTACTTTCTCTTCCATTCATTGAAGGACAAAGCCATCATAATAACCTGACCAGTAGGGTTATATCTCCACCTGCATGAGTAGAATGCTAAGCATACAGAAAAAACACAAGCCAACCCTGGGGCGGCTCCTGCTGGTGGCCAAGGCCCCCCTTCCCTCCCGTCTGCAACAACCCACTCATTTTGTTGCCTTTTGTTTAGGAGTTGGGACCTAGGGCTCTTTGGTCCTGTTTGGTCCTGTTTTTTTTTATTTTACTTTTGTTTCTGTTGTTTTTATCTAATCCTGTTTCTGAGCTCACCCTATGTTTGACACTGCTTTGGGACATTCCTATTGGTCAAGTTATTCAATGAACAATCCATCCTTTAATGGAATGAAGAGAAAATAGGATTTTTGTACTCACCGTGAAATCTTTTTCTCTGTGTTCATTGAAGGACACAGCTGTTGTGGGGGTGTGGCGTTTGCCATGGTTCTGTGTACTGCTTGATTCCAACTGAGTGGATTGTTACAGACTGGGGGTTTGGCAACCGGCAGGGCCGTCCCTGGGTTGGCTTGTGTTTTTATTGTATGCCTAGCATCCTACTCCTGCAGGTGGTGATATAACCATAATAACCCCATCAATCAAGTTATTGGCTGGCTGTACAAAAATATTTTTTTTATATTCGAAATTCAGTCAAAGCTTTTATTTTTGTTTCTTTTATATATATTGAGGAAGGATTAGAACTTTCTACCCTTCTTCCTGCTCTGCCTACCCTTCTTTTCCTCATGTGTCACCAGGACAGGAAATTAGGAGAGTGTCTCCAATTGGAACGTAGACAGGGATAAAAGCACTTTTATATTAAGTGTGGGGAAGGTTTAAAGCCTCTGTCAAGTTGTTATTGCATCAAACCCCCAGTTTGGGATATTTCCCCTTTCTTCCAATTGTGTCCCCAGGATAGGAAATGAGGACACAGTCTCATACATGGGCAAAGACAGGAATAAAAGACTTTTCATAAACAGAGTGGGAAAAGATTAAACCCCCTATCAGGTTTTTATTGCTGCCTGTCTTTTCTGAGGAGATTTCCTAACTTTGTGTTGTGTCAGTGGTACTTCCTGCACTATGAAATATTGCCTATGAGGACACAGGTGGCAATTTATTTCTAACCCTAGATTTAAAGCTTCTAAACATTTTCCAATTAACTACAATGTCATCTAAGAGCAGCAGATTTCTTGCTGGTTTATGTTGGAAACAGATCACAGAAATGGAAACATGGAAAGAACTGGTACATGATCATTAGCATTTGAAAAATAGACATGTAAATTAAATTCACAAGCCCTACTAAGCCATTGGTCTGTTGAAGAGCTTACACTTGTGTGGTATGTTCAGAGCATCAGGGCCTCACTGTTTGCCACAAGCTGCAGCTCTGCAAGATACTTTGCTGGTAGGCTTGATATTAACCATTTCATGAAGTACAGTACTTCTTTTGTCTATGGCTTTAATTTGTGTATCCTTCCTTTCTTCAAAAGTTGCATTAGCTGCCTCTGTGTTTCTGTCATCATGAAAGGACACAATACTGATGGTCTGCTTTGAGGTTGTATAATCCTGAGGCTACAAGGGCCACTATAGTTGGCCACCATATTTTTGAAAAAGAAAACTTGGTCACCCCTAGCTACTACTTATAAAAAACAATTATATCCTATTTTATAAAACTGGTGGGAACAGAATATAGAAAATAAATCTAGAAAAATCTAGAAAAATAAATACATATTTGAATTTTAATGATTAATTGCTATGGGCAAGGATTTTTACAGCTCTGTCATCCTAGCCTTACCTGCACTGTTTTGTATCAAAGTGATGTATGATAGCAACAATAATCCAAAACTATTGAAGGACCGGGTTGTTTTTGTACCACATGTGGAAAACCGCATCAAGCAGCTAACTCTTTGAACAATCACAGCTAATACACAACATCTTTGATGTACAGATAATATAATCCTGTTTGTGGATTTTTTAAGAACGATGTAATATTATCTTATGGGCAAAATAACAAAAATATGGAAGTAACCTTAAATGTAGCACAAATCCAAGCTTATAAAAAACCATTATATCAGTAATGATCTAACTTGTGGATTATCTTTTATGACCTAACTTGTTTATTTAGGCATACATTAAAAAAAATAATAAGACCAGATTTTTAGCACATTTGGTTATTTGCTTTGTTTTGTTATATGGTTTTCATTGAATTTCTAAGACTATAAACAGAAACGTGCTGGTCTTAAACGGGAATGTGCTGGTCCGGTAATTTGATTCTTGCTTTCAAAGTTTTAATAAACAGACAAGTTTTATATTGGAAACTACAATTTTCAGTATGTTGCCCATCTGCTTTGCCTAAAGCTGAGCTTTTATATTGTATGCAATGCACCAATGCATGGTTTAATATATAGTGAACATGTCTTCTTGATCATGTGATCTCATATAGTAGCTGGAGGTGGAGGTATACCTGTCGTTGGACCTGGAGTTGGTGGCATCCCTGGTGCTGTGCCAGGTTTGGGCCCTGGAGGTGGAGCTGTTCCTGGTGTCGTGCCTGGTCTTTACCCTGGAGCTTTGCCTGGGGGTGGTGCACTGCCCGGAGCTGGTAATGCTTAAAGAAAACATACTTGCAGATTTTTAAAAAAAATTTAATGTGTAGTTGTTAAGAAGTGTTTGCATTGCTGTTTTACAGGAATACCTCAATATGGAGTTCAGACTGGTGGCAAACCTCCTAAGTATGGTGAGCCACTAGTACTATATTCTACAAATGTCATGGCTATTGAAGTTGCTATTTAACCAGTGTTTGACTGGTTTTTAAAGTGACACTAAACTCAGGAGTTAAACCTTAAAAAATGCATTCACATACCTTAACTTTGAGCTAATCTCATGTTTAGGATACTAATTTGTATTGAGATTGTTGTCCATCATGGGAGCGAGCTTGGAGTGATGTCTACTTTACAACACACACAGGGACCAATTCAGAGATGATATGAGGATCTACAGCCGAGTGATTCACAAATAAGATACATTTTTGTTAATAGTTAAGGTACTTGAATGCATTTTTAAGGTTTAACTTCTGAGTTTAGTGTGACTTTAATTCTACTGAAGGAACCTTTGGTAAAGCCTGGATTCAAGTGAGCAACTAGAGTATGTTTGATTTAAAAATGTAGAGAAGCTTGTTTTGTAGACTTCCACTTTAATTGAATCACCAGAAAACTACAAATTGGCAAATTGGCATCTACTGTATTGTACATTTAAATGTATTTTCCTTATTTTCTTTAATCCTATTTTGGACACTTATAACATTAATAATTTGTGGGCCCTACATGTTCATCAGCCTCGAACTTATTACTGTTCCCATCCTAACATTAAATAATTACACTATCTAGGCTCTACGCTTGTATTGATAATTTCCTCTCTCCTACTGTAGCTTGTTATTGTGGTTACTGTTTTTCATATATTAATACATATATATATATATATATATGTATAGATATATATATATATATATTTGAATAGATGTATGCCTATGCTTTGCATACATTCTCCTAGTTTAGTGATAAATACTATCCATCTTTTGCTATTTTATTGTACTTTTTTTATGAGTAGGAGGGAGTGTGAGGGAAACCCATAAACACATAACCATACCATATAATAAAGCAATACTTGCATTGTCCTCATAAAACAATAGGATCTACTTTTTATAGTTTAGTGCAGGACAGAAAATGAAAATAAGATCTGTTTGCTTGTTCAGTACGGTAGAAACCCCTATTGTTATATATCGGTATGACTCATGTACAAAATACAGGTTCAGCTGATTTCACTTAGCTATTTTATAGCTATTTTATTTCCATTGTCCACACTGATTTCTCCCCTTGTACAAAATTACACACCTTCTATAATCTGTGGATCAGAGTGACATCTATAGGAGAAAAATAGGTAATACAGATCAGTTTTACTAAACTCCAGAAAAGAGACAAAATTAAATCTTATCTAAACCCAATCCCAAAAAAATGATATATTGCAGTTTACCAGTCTTTAGATGTGGTGGCTGCGTTCGTTTTCTTTCTACTCGTATTTTATTTTCCTTTTATTTCACTTGGTGATTCTGGCAACAACACACTACTTGTAACAGAGAGATAATACTCACATACTGTACTACATCTATGGAATAGTAACGTTGTCACTGCTCTCCTGATTTAGACTACAAACACCTCCCCCTCTCCTTTTGTCCATTACATAGAGAGGTGTTGCTGATTTAGGGTGGCCTAGCTAATTTAAGCTTATTAGGTAAGGATAGGATTCTGTTCTTGCAGAAAATGTAATTAGCCTTAAAAAGAAAATGAATGTTGCAGCTGCCAGATATAAGAACTTGTAAGCAGGGATACACAGTATATTTCATTTGTGTTCTTCAGTTTAGTTAAAATTTAAAATGTGGCTAAATGGTGCAGCTGCCCAAATCCAGCCATGGTCACAAAACTTAGTCCTGAAAAAACCTGCGACAGACACAAAATTCTGAATGTAAGAGAAATGTAAATAACAAAAAAAAAAACATGCAATGGCAAGAATTATTTGGAAAACAGGTGTCAGTAAAATGAGAATGAAAAATTCACAAAATAAATTCTTTGCATCATTTTTAAAATATATATATTTTGATATTTTCCTTACAAATCTATCTAAAGCATATTTTCTGGAAGCTATATTTTTCTGCATTTTTTTTTACTAATGCAGTGATAAAGAGTCAGCTGTTTGTTTCCATAGGTGTGCCTGGTGTTGGGGGTGTTTCTGGAGTAGGTGGTGGAGTAGGCGTTGGTGGCATTCCTGGAGTTGGTGGCATTCCCGGATATGGCGGCATTCCCGGATATGGTGGCATTCCCGGATATGGTGGCATTCCCGGATATGGTGGCGTTCCTGGAGTTGGTGGTGTTCCTGGAGTTGGTAAGTAATTAAATGGTAGTACTATTTATTTCTCGTTATTTAGTTTATAAAAAAGCAAATATAGACTTCTACACTCTAATAAAATAGTGTCAGAATCTTCTCACGAGTTGTTCAAAGGGTGAAGGAGATAGTACTCTCACCTTACCTGCTTGCCCCTCTCAACTTACTGGGGTTGATTTACTAATTGAGTAGAGACTGTTGACTTTGCAAAGTAAATATGCACTTTACAAGTGAATGATAACAAATGACATAAACCTCCGTTCAGTTTGAATACTCAATCATGTGTGAGGGAAATTAAATTAAACAATTGCTAGCTCGTGCTTGGTTGATTAAAGTGAACAAAGCTTCATCCTATTTACTCCTCTAAACAAAGTTCACATTGCTAAGTGAATAGTCTGTACTATTATATAGTCTATAATACTCTATAATACTCCTTTAGTATTATATAATACTCCTTTAGTAAATCAACTCCGCTGGTTCTCTTTATGATGACATTATTGTTAGTTGCAGAATACTTCTTTGGCAATCTCTCTTACAGTAGGTTTTTGCAAATTATGCTCGCCAACAATTTTAATGAAGAAGGAACCAAAGTAGAAACATAAATATGGCCCTAAAAATTACAATTACAATTATTTTTATAGCACCAACATATTCCGCAGTGCTGTACAATCGTTTAGGCAAGACAAGTAAGAAACACTGACAAGCATCATTGACATAAAGAAACAGTGGGTGAGGAGGACCCTGCCCAAAAGAGCTTACAGTCTAAGAGGAAGGGGACCAAAGACACAGAGATGGGGAGGAGAGACTACAGATGTATACCAAATAAAATGGGTGGGGATTTGGGAGTACTGTGAAAAGAGAGCAGAAGGGAAGGTTGTATAGGGTGAGAAATTAAGGGGAGAGCTGATACGCATCTGCATTTTGAGGGATTTTTCAAAGCCCTCTAAGAATGGTGAGAGCCTGATGTGGCGTGGGAGAGAATTCCATATTGTGGGGGCAGCCCTGGTGAGGTCCTGTAGATGAGAGTTGGGTGTGCGGGTGAGTGAGCAGAATAGTCTCAGGTCATAAGTTGAACAAAGGGGCCGATTTGGAGTATATCTTCTAATTAGAAATATAGAAATAAAGAAAAGTTGAGCTTGGCCAGGCTTGGCACTGGGGGTAACCAGTTGAATTTATTGTCTCTATCTACAAAGCTACCGTATACTCCAATAGTATTTAAAGCAGTTCTTTTGAGGTGGTGTAATGGCAATAGTAGAATAACGACAAACAGAAATGCACAGATGCAGTCTACTACACAAAGTAGGGGTTGATTTACAGATACAGTAGGAGTAGGTTGTTCACTTTGCAAGGGAATTCGCATTTTGCACCGAAGGTTTCCCCTTAGTTTAGTGAATGAGGTGAAGCTCTGCTTACTTCCATCACTCTATCACGTGCAAGCAAAAATATTTTTTTTATTTTCCCTTGCACATGATTGGGTAGTCTTTCAAAAGGAAATGTTACCACAGCTCATGGAAACGTTCACTGCAAAGTGCAAATCACAGTCACAGATTTGTGTCACAGATTTAGCATACTGTTTAAAGGAATTTGTAGCATCTACCCCGTGCCTAAACGTTTCTTCTCTATAAAAACAATATCCCTAAGCAAGGTTAACTGTGGTGTCAAGTTTACTTTAATAAATCAATCACACCACTGAGGTCTAGTGCATTAAGACCTGTATTACTATGTTTTGCTTTAGAGCAGCGCATTTATTTGAATAGGCTGACGATGCACTAAAACACACTTAAAAATGTTTCTGCTCCATATTTTGCAATACAGCACACCACAACCCATGGTAATTAATGTGTGCTGCGGTGTATTGGGGTGGCATTCAGAATGAATGGCAGAGCAGCACACCAACGCACATATTATGCATTGCTGCAATGCAATAGTGTGAACCCAGCCTAGGAAAATTCCTGCATACTGTTATTTATTCAACTCATATTATATTTATTTGACATAGTTTAGAGTATACTAGAAGTCATTTTGTAAACAAGATTTGATTACATTTTACCTATATGTATCACACACAAAAACATTTAAACATTGAATATCATTGGATACGGTGATAATAAATGTGAAGCCTACGCCATATTTCCTATGTATACTTAAGCTTATTTACATTATTAGTGTAGGTTATTCTTATTTCTTCTTTAACTGTTCTTTCTTCGTTTTTAAATGTTGATCCTTATTTGTATATTTTGTTATACAGGTGCTGGTGCTAAGCCACCTAAACCTGGAGGTAAGTTGCAATTACAGAAATGGTAGCTATGCATATTTTAAAGCTGAACTCCATGAATATATAAAATGTAGGTAACAGTACAGAAATCCTTTCATTATATTGGCTTCCCAAATTCCCCACACATCATCATTTACATGCAAAGATGGAGGGTAATCAGCATTAGCCACACAGGTTCTATTAAATTGGTTTGAGTCTAACAAAGAGAGCAGGCTTTTAGGAGGGAAGAACACATGGATTGTCTTGTCAGTGTTATGCTGCTTTTCCATTATACACTTAGCAGATGGAGTACAGACTGATGAAAGAGAATTTCAGCAGCTATTTTTTCCTAAAGTCCTTCATCAGATGGATGAGTACAATGACAACCATTTATCCAGCTATTTGTTACTCTGTCCACCTTTAGGTGATCTCTAAAAAAGTATATCTTTAGAGAAGCAAACTCATCCATTCACATCTATTACTTGTTGTACCTCTTACTCCTCACTTTCAGATTGTAGCCTGTCACGATCATGGCCCTCCTAACCCCCTTCTGTTGAATTGTTTTGTAATTGTAATGTCTCCCTGTATTTTATAAAGTGCCACCCAAACTGTTGGCGCTATATAAATCCTGTAAAATAATAACAATAATAGATTGCTGCACATGCGTTCTCACACACAACCATGAAGGTTCATGTTGTCACAAAACACTTGTGACCTCTAGTTCCAACATAGGAACCACCACTGTGACACAAACTCACCACTGTATGTTCTAAGTACATATGTATTTAGTGATTGGTGTGAAAGAACTAAACCTCCAAGTGTAATTATCATTTAATGTGCCTCGGCATAGTAACTATATAAGCAAGTTGCATACAACTCATATAAATAAGCAATTACATACAGTACATACTGTTGTTGAAAGCAATGTCACTTATTTATTGTTCTGTGTTGCATAGTTGGAGGTGTTGGACCAGGTGGCCTGCCAGTTGGAGGTATGTATTTATTTTAATTAATATATTTAAGTATACATTAAAGTGGTGTTTTGCATTAAACTGGTTTTCCATGGATATATATAAAATGTTAACATACACAACATTACATTATTTCTTGCTTGGACTGTATTGATAATATTAGCTCCTTATAAACTGGTACATAAACGGGTACTGGTACATTTAGAATAATAATTAGACCAGGCTCTCAGGAAAAGGCCAGGAAGATGGTGGGAGGTAAAAGTACCGCATGTTGTATTAGCTCATAAATATCAGCACATAGTGTTTCACCACATGTACAACATAAATAACAATAAAATACAATACAAAAAATTATATTTAGCAACTAACAATGAAATAAAATCTAACTAATTATTTATTTTTGTCACATAGTTGGAGGAGTTGGACCAGGTGGCCTGCCAGTTGGAGGTATGTGATATTCATAAATGTATGTATGTATGTATTTATTTATGTGTGTATGTATGAATATATGTATGCATATATGCATTTAATAAATAAGTGTTTAAAATTAAATTTTGAGTTTTAGTGTGGCTGAGTCATGGCATTCTAAAATATTAAACAATGTGTTCAATCTAACTTTCTTAGTAGATGGAAAAATACATTATTAAATAAATCCTAACGGAATGCAATAATATACTAATATCTCTGTGACTTACTACAGTTTGTCTAATATTCTGGCCTTTCATGTCAGGAATGACATCTTAGACTTCTGCGGCCTAAAGCAGAAAGATATTAGGAAGTAGTGCAGCGCCTCTTTGTCTACTGTTTTGTCACTTAGATTGTGTCTAAAGCCCAATTATTTTTTTGGATAGTGGTGAAGGGTTGGATCCTTTTTAAACCTTTTATTGCTGTCTATGCTCCCGCTAGAGAGATTCACCCTCTCTATTTGTCCTGGTAACAACAGTCACTGGGACCAAAAGTAGAGGAAAGTCAAGGCTATAGTTATAATAGGTATACTTCCAGTGACAACTGTTGAGGGTGTTTCCCTCACTTTGGAAAGATTTCCCATCACTACCTGTTGTGTCTACAGAACAGGAGGTAAAGGGAAATCTTCCCAATGGAACACAGATGGCAAAAAAAACCTGACAGGATTTTTAACACTTTCCTATTTCATTTAAGATGGGAAAAAATATTGTAAAATATGAATTATATACTGTATACTGTATACTGTTATAATGCTGGAGCAATTTGTTGCTGCTTTTCACTACAATTCTTCGGGTTCATAAAGTTAGCTTAAGTGGTAGACACTGATAACAGAAAGTAATGTACTTATGATAGTGTTGGAAATACATAATGGAAATACACAATGTCATGTAGTCCTACTACAAAATCTTAGAATGTGTTAAAGGAAAATGTAATCACTGTTACACTAACTATGCATTGATCACTTTCCCAGGTGTTGGCGGTGTAGGAGCTAAGCCCCCTAAGCCAGGAGGTGGGTAATAATCTCTGAAAATATATTGCTAGTGGTCACAATAAAGTAGTCATCACCTTATCAACACAATGGGCAAATGAGCTGTTAATATTGCTAGATGGGTTTGTTACTGATAAACTGTACAATTAATTTGCAAGTAAATGTGCAAGAAACAAATACATTTGTACTGGTAATGTTATGTAAATATAATCTGTGAGAAGATGAAAAAAGTCCTCTCATTTTGTTATTTAAGATTCTACAAGCCTTCTACAGTTGGTGTGGGTCCTGGTGATATGCCATTCATCTTTTCTGGCCCTTAAAGGAGAACTATAAGATGAGTGATTTCCACTCACTTCATAGTTCTAGCCGACCTGTGACAATGAGACTGTCACAGGTCGGCTCAGTAGATCGGGAGGTGAGCGAACAGATACCGGGTTCGCTCACCTCTCGATCATGTCACAGCTCTCTGCCATGACAGGGGGAGAGGCTGGATTTTCCTTCTCCCTGTTCCGATCTCCCAGCGCTGACTGGCGGAACGGACGGGGGAGGGGGCGGGTACAGCTGGCTCTGCCTCTAGATAGGCAGAGCCAGCTGTCACTCAAGCAGCTGGGCGGATCCCGACGTCCATGTCGGGATCCGCTCCGGCTGCGGTGTCTCAGTATACTGCGAGCTGTAGCTCACGGTATATTGAGCTTAGGGTAACGGGAGGACGCTAGTTTGTGTCCTCCTGTTACCCTAAGGAGAACTATGGGGAAAAACACTGACCCCATAGTTCTCCTTTAAAGAGAGTGTTTACAAAATTAACATAACCATTCAGAGGGTCTGAGAGGTGTGCTGAAGGGATGTTGAAATGTTATATAATGCTCAGTAGACACATCCTGAATGCCAAGTTTTCTAGCTTTATCCAAATGGCAAAGTTTTACATATTATTGAATTGAATTAAATTACAATTTAATTGAAACCAAATATGATATAAATTGAATGCACATATTGCATAGGAGATCTAATGTGATCCATTTGCCTGCTGGACATGGTAGTAAAAGCAGGTTTAATGATTGATTTGCAACTTCTCATACATCATTGTAATCACTTTTAATGAATATACTGTAAGCCCATCATTGCGGGAACTTTGGAAATTGTATGAAATGCTGTATAGTTGTGTGCTTTGCACAAGTATCATACTAATTTATTTTCCTCTGTTTGGTTAGTTGGCATTGGTGGATTACCAGGAGTTGGAGGATTACCAGGAGTTGGAGTTGGTGGATTACCAGGAGTTGGAGTCGGTGGAGTACCAGGAGGAGGTTAGAAATGTGTCTGCTATTTCTATCAATTTTTCCTTTACTCAGCCTATGCCTGGTACTCCACATGGATTGCAGAAGCCTCCACACATAATGTTATTCTGGCTACTGTCTGATCTAATGGTTGGGAGAAACCGGTAGGCTAATAAATGGCTGACAGCAACCCACATTGAAGTCAAGCATGTATTATTTAATAGCCAATTGCTTTGTTCATTATTTAAATTTGCTGAGCTGTAATGGCTTTTGTGCATCACCAGTTCAAATCTTGTAAAGAGTTATGTTGGCTACACATGAATCAGGTCATTTTAGGTATCATACATGTTTTGTTTGTTTTAATTTGACCCAAACTACAATGAGAAGTACAGCTGATCAGACTGATTGTCTTAAAGGGGCCTCATCTTGTAAAATCAGAAAAATGAATTATGTTTGTTTTCTAATTTTGGGATGTTTTCGTTTATTTATGCTAGCGCTTAAAGGAGAAAAATGATGTGAGTGAATTACACTTATCCCCATTGAAACTATCACATGTCTGCTCTATTGAGCGGGAAGTGAGTGAAAACATAGCGCCGCTTGCTCACTTCCCAATCATCTCCCTGCAAAGAGGATAGTCACCGCTCACCCAGGGATTCCCCCCTTCCCCTTTCTGATCCTCCGACGTTGATTGGAGGGAGGGACGGAGCACAGCAGGACCAGTCAGGATAGATCCAGGATCCTGAGACATGTTCCTGGATGCCTAAAGTCTGGCAGGGAGACATGCCGAAAATTCTTATTTCTTCTTCCTCTGTAGTTGGTGTTGGTCTAGGTTGTGCCCCAGGTGTAGGTAAGTAGGAGATGTACACTTCAGTCTGATGCTAGAGATTACACAACATAAAACAAATAGGATCATATTCACCAATTAATTGTAAAACATTTACAAAAATAGTTTTTGTAATTTTTCATTTTGTAATGTAAATTTTTGCTGTTATGCTCACTAAAACACTGCTATTTTTCTTAATTTTAGGAACGTACCCAGCAGGAGGGAAGCCACCTAAACCTGGTGAGCACAGTGATCTTTGAGACTGCACTTTAAGCCCCAGCTCAAATGGGGAGCTATGTCTTCCCATTAAAAATATGTGATGCAGCAATTATTATAGGTGCATCTGCACAGTTTTCACATGGTCCCCCTGCAAAGTCCCACAAATACTATGCCTAATGCAGATTATTGTGATGGTGTGACAATGATGCTGCACTGCTAGTGAATTCAGAGTAGAATTGCCATTCTTAAGTAAGCTCCGTGATTGCACTTCAGTAGAGTGAAAAAAATGCAGCAAGCATGGCTATCACAAGTTTGTTAATCAGCATCTGGCCACACCTAGTTCTGCCCGCTGCTTTCTGGATTGGCTGTACTGCCTCTGTTACTGAAACCCATACCCATCCATCGGAACAGTAAGTGAGTAAGTTGAAGCAGACTTACAAAGATTACACAAGTGTATGATGTTGGTATATATAGATGAAAAAGTTGTAATATGGCAGGAGAGCAGCCTGAACAGTGAAAATCACACAGAAGAAATACAAGAAAACGATACGGACAGTGTGGCAAAAATGTATATAAAAATATGGTAAAAGGCATGAGTATTCATGTTATATTTTATATATTTTGTCTGGCCATGTTCTTAGGTTATGGAGCAGGATATGGAACTGGATTGTATGGTGGAGGCGGAGTAGGACCTGGTGGTGGACTAGTTCCTGGTGGTGGATTAGTACCTGGAGCTGGACTTGGAGCTGGTGGTGGACTGCTACCTGGAGCTGGCCTTGGTGCTGGTGGTGTAGGTGGCGTGGGAGCAGGTGCAGGCGGCAAACCCCCCAAACCAGGTACAAATGATCTGTACTTTTATAATAATCAGAGAAATTCTGCTTATGACTTTATGGATAGCACCTTTTAATCATATAGTAATGTGTATAGATCTTAAATTATTGGTTGCTATAGTATACCTTAATGATGTCTAGGATGCGAGTATATATTTGATTATTATCTCATCATATCAAACTTTTATGGAAGGCTTAAATTTAACAAGTGTTAGTGGACAAATAGTTTATCAATGTGAAATAAAGTCTCATTAATATGGTGTGGAACATATTGACAAATTTACTATAAGATAATGGGTGGTAACTACAAATTTTCAACTGATTATAAAAATACTAAGAATAGTTTAATAGCACATTCAGTAAGACAAATTGGTTCCTATATAATGTTTTTTCTTTTCAGGTTACGGCCCTGGAGCTGGTCTAGGTGCAGGCGCTGGATATGGTGGTCCAGGTGCTGGTCTTGGTGGTCTAGGAGCTGGCGGTGGACTTGGTGGTCTTGGAGCTGGAGGTAAGAATTGAATAGGCTTCCCATAACTAATCCTTTTTTCATAAATATATTTTCATTGTGCTTTATCACAGCCAAATATACAAGTGACTTTATTTAAGTTGTTTTTTTTTTTTAATAGTCCACCTTATTTTCACAATTTATAATACCATACACTGTTTTATTTATTGAAGCTAAACCTTTCAGTTAAAATCTGGTAAATGCTAAACCTTAGTGTCGTGAAACACAACAGTACCAAGTGGCTAAAACATTTTATTATGCAAGGCTGGCAGTTTTTATATAAGGTGGTATGTTAAAAGCATGTATGCATCCAATATAAGCAGAACTAGATTTTAAAAAGTCTTGGAAAACTGGGACTAGACCATGATCTCACTGCTGACCTGAGGTTAGTTGCATCTTTATAAGGGCAATAAAATACAGTTGGCTGTTTGAAAATCTAATGTTCCATGGAGCTAAATGACTAAAACCCACAGAAACACCCTAAGCTGGCAACCCATCTAAAAAGGAAAACCTTTTAATTCTAAAATGAGGAGCATAGATTACTATGAGTCACCAGATATGCAGCTGTAATGTCACCATGTGATGGCTATTTACTGGACTGAGTGAAGACATTAAGCATGTGTGAGTGTTCACTAAACTCTCCAACCAACTCCAGTCTCCAAGGGCCGTTGACAGCAATCCAGGAATACTAAATTACTGCGGATAAATAAATGTTATGTTTAGTTAATTGGTTAACTACATGCTAATTTGAGAAACCTTAGCACTCTGGCCAGTCAGCGACCCCATGGGACTGCGATTTACAGCTGTTAAAAAAAGTGTTGTAGGAAAATAAATAAACTGTATTCCTCAGGCATGAAGTTGCTACAACTTGTGACGAGTCAACCTAAATTCTAAACTCAGGACTATGGGCAGCAGTTGTGCATTAATTGTGAAAGCGTCGATATGCTGATCAGATAAAAATAATATTGTTATTAGCTGTCAGGAGATATATACAGGCATGTTCAGTAATAAAGTACAAGGTGCAATGTATGTTGCAGTAACCCATATCAGCTAATTCGATTACAGCTTACTGTTATCAGATTGATTAAAATATTTTTTTGTAACTGGTCATTCTTAAATTTCCTGCATGTTGCCAGTGCTTTTTGCCATATTCTATTCAATAAGAACATTACAGTAATTTGTCTTATTACTTTTTGTGTAAGGAGTTCCTGGAGCAGGAGCAGGAGGAAAACCACCTAAGCCCGGTAAGAATCAAGATTTTTCCCCAATAGAAAAGTATGAGGCTTTTTTCTGCTCAAATATAACAAACCAATGGCTACATTCTACCCACATGGTTAATAAGGTTGAAAAAAAGAATCATGATTATAAAGTTCAGCCTTTCTTAGTCCCTGGAGCAATGGTCTTGAAGAAGGCAAAACAAGCCTCCCTGTGCGACTGTTGACAGTTTTGCCACACAGTAACAGAAAGAATTTCCAACCTGACCCCCTAAGGGCAGTTGACTCCAGCCACTGGATCAAGATATTGCTCTCTTAGCCTTTAGTACTTATAGGTTTGGATATAATTAATTATAAGAACATCTCCAATTTTTTTCAAAACTCCAATTTTGTTTTTGCCAGTACTTCCTCTGTAAAACTTTCTGTGGCTTAACCACCTTGAGCGTAAAGGACCCCATCCTAAACTGATCGGAAAGTCTTCTGACGTTGTTCTGTACTTTGCACGGTCCTTGGGATAGGAAAGTAATTTGCTAAAGCTTTATACTAGTCTTGGATATATCTGAATATGTTAAATAAGTTGCCTCTAGGATGTTTTTTCCAAACTGAAAATACCTGTTGCTCAATAATGCAGTCACAGGATTGCAGGATACAGAATACAGGATTACATTTGAGATGTAATTGATCTGTTTTCATAGGTTATGGACCTGGAGCTGGTGCAGGAACTGGAGGCGGTTTTGGACCTGGAGGTGGATATGGACCAGGAGCAGGAGGTGGATTTAGACCAGGAGCTGGAGTTGGACCTGGAGCTGGACTTGGACCAGGTGGAATAGGAGGTGCAGGTGAGATCTTTATAGAAAGTGCTTCAGAAGCTAGGAGAGCTATCTGTTTAAAACTAATAATATTGATCTTTGCACAAAGGGCAGATCCTGTGCAGTGAAAACACAGTTGCATATGCTGGTGTCCATGAGAAGGGCCTTATCATTTGGCTGGAAGTAAATTGGCAATGTTTGGTAGCACAACCTTGCTACTAAATTTACCCATGATTAGCAATTGATCACTACACATGGGGAACAAATGGCTCCCTATGGAGTGTAGCATGTAGTAGATATTAATTCCTAAAGAACGCACAATGCTCCAAATTTCTTGCTACCGTAGGTGTAACAATTAATGGCTGATTTATTTAAAAAAACACGTTAAAAAAGTTCACTATGGCTCAGAAAAATAAGTATACTAAGAGATAAAGGCAGCTGAATTTATTTGCATATCTCAACTTTTACTATGAAGGTCGAGCTTGATCATGCTCCCTCCAATCTCATGATTCTGCCTAGTCCTGCTCCTTTACTGAGGTGAGTTGCCTCTCTGACCAATAAGGTAAGGTGAGGTTAAGGAAGTTAAGGAGGTAGAAGAGTGAAGTGGAAATTACCAATCAAGATCTGGATACAATTCCAGTTGCCTATATCTTTGGATATACTAATGGTGACCTCTGCATTTTGCCAGGATATGTTTAGGTGGAATTGCTGAGATTTTTGACCCGTTTACATTAGCAAATGTTGATCATAAGAAAACACTTGCTATATCTTCATAATGTGCATTCTTTCTGCATAATCAGCAGTGTTATTATGTATGTAGTCTCAGTTGTCCTCGCCTAGCAGCTGAACAACTTTCAAACTAAACATACCACAAACACTAAGAAGTGTTGTAAATACAACCATAGTTTGCTGATGTGCTGACTCTTCTTATGAGTCTCAGCACCTGTTTTCTCACTGCAGTTTGCAGCACAGAACCACAGATGTGGTACCCTGGAAAGAATTCTGGGGACTAAGGCCATTATTCTATAGCCAGAAATTTCTGTTAAGAAGGAATGGGGTCATAACAGCAATAAGTCACTCAGTATCATTGGCATCTTTAGCAGACTGCGTCACAATAGTCAAAACACAAATGAAAATAGACTGGGGATAGTCACTGTTTTAATGGAAGCAGACAAGTATCCGGGAGACTAAGCTGAGAAACTGTGTTTATTTTTTGTTCAATCTCAGTGGAACTTTGTGGACAGAAAACAAACTGCAGACATCTGGAGGAGAACAAGTGAAATGCAGACTGTATGTAAACTACCCAAAAAAAGGAGACAGAAATAAATATTCAGAGTTACTGAGAGATTATCACAGAACAGCTGTATATTAAGCTGTATCATCTTAGATTATGAGATTTGTTAGAGGACATGTCAGAAAAGGTGGATATGGCAAGTCATTGTTTTCTTTTCCTGCCAGGCCTATACCCAGGAGCTGGAGGCAAGCCACCTAAGCCAGGTAAGATTAAATAAGATAGTATTAGCATTTGCACAATGTTTTATAGTGATGTGTTGGAATGTTATACTCTTTTGCTTTCTTATGTTATTCAGGATATGGTGCCGGTCAAGTAGCAGGTGTCGGTGGTGCTGGTTATGGACCTGGAGCTGGAGCTGGTTATGGCCCTGGTGCTGGAGCTGGTTTTGGACCTGGAGCTGGTTATGGCCCTGGTGCTGGAGCTGGTTATGGCCCTGGTGCTGGAGCTGGTTATGGCCCTGGTGCTGGAGCTGGTTATGGCCCTGGTGCTGGAGCTGGTTATGGCCCTGGAGGATTAGGAGGAGGTGAGAAATAGCTGCTGCTCCTCACTGCAGAAAACATACAGAAATAGCCTATTTTCCGAATACACTCATGTGCTAGCTTCACAGTAGGCTAATCGCCTCTTTCTCCTTATACTGCCTCAGCTGCTAACATCCATAAGTTATATATATTTGTTGTGTTATACAGACATTGCCTAATTATACATTAATGCTGAAAAATGATAGGCATAATGACATGTAATACATCATACCTACAGTGTATAAACTTTGCCCTTTCTCCACCCCAACGAAAACCACTAAAAGTGTGGAGGAGCTGGGCCACAGCTCTATTGATTTTACAAAGTGTGCATATTTCAAATATTCTGGAAAATGACACTTACAGCTGATAACAAAAATCTGTGCAAATCACAGCTGAACTGTGAGTGCTCAAATAGCACAACATAGCCTAAATGTCTGTCCTGACCTGGTTCAGGACAGATATCTGACTACCAACAGTCCACAGAGGGTATCAAGCAGAGGCTATCTGACTGCTGCCAGGGTAAACCCCTTCAAAGAAGCCATCTGACTGCTGGCAAGGTAAACCCATACAAAAAAGCAGTGACGCTAAAAAACTAGTATGAGGGTGGGAACTAGTCAAGTGGCTTCAGAAATAATCAGGTCAGTTTGGCCGCCCTCAGATAACTAGTCTCCCTTTGGTCCCTTAGTGAGGACAACCATGATAATGACCTACAGTTCATTACATATTCATACATTATAGGCCAGTAAGCATCTTCTATCCATATGCTATGATTCCACCAGTCAGGAGTCCCTTTTACCATGGCTCAAGGCCCCATACATTCCACTCTCCCTGCTAATAGAGAACAAAGCATTAAGAAAGATCATAAAGAAAAACAGACAAGCTTATAAAAATAAACATTTGATGCCATTGATGAACATGGAGAATAAGGAGAGTGGACATGAGGTAACATAAAGTCTTGTTTTCTTTTCAGGTGCATACCCAGGAGGCAAACCACCTAAGCCAGGTAAGGTCAAGTAGATCTCATCTGAAATATTATGATATAATTCTGGCTCAGACTGGCATGTTCAAACTGTGACATTTGCCAGAGTGAACTGATTAGTAGTCTCAACCCTATTTTAATGAAGTACTATCACATATGCTTGATATGTTTTTGGCTCTTCAGTATTAAACCGAATTGTTGCACATTGCAGCCAATTCATTATGTGGGGTCAAATTTATAATTGTAAACATTAATATGGGCTGGTATGTTTAAAGATTACCTGTAGCATAAACCAATTTATATGCTATCCCCCACAATTGTTTAAAATTATATGGGGGAAAAAACTGTGCCTGTTTGTGTAGTCACCAGACATTGGAATACCTTGTGAGTCCTTAGCATTGATCCTGTGGTTTTATGATTACATAGGGGCATAGGGATGTTAACTGAGTCAAGCGTAACCAATTAGAAGCTATGCCTGAAGACAGATCCTCTTTGAATTGGTCGATTGACTTAGCACATAGACCATTTTGGTAAACAGCAGCTATGTTTTTCAGCAACTTTCACTCATATACTCCTACTTTTTATGCAAGAGGCTATAGGTCTACTTAAATATATTAGAGCTGCTTTCTGCAACCTCTATGCTTGACTGTAACCACTGATTTGTAATGTCTTATGTAAAAATGCAGTAATTAACAAGCCTTTTTGTATTATCAGGTTATGGAGCTGGTTATGGAGCTGGTGCTAGTTTAGGTCCAGGAGCATTAGGAGGAGCTGGATTTGGAGGTGAGGATAATTCTCCAACATAAAGCAGATAATCTATATGCAAATTATTTAGCTGAATGCAAAGATAAATCATTTCACACATTTTATAAGTAAATTACTACTAATAAGAACCAGGGAATGTCTTATAATCCCCATGCCTTAACATTTTCTAAGCGCAAGGTACATCTCCTTCAGAAATTCACCAACTACTACTGCTTTATAAAAACACATTTATTGTATGTCTCCCGGCAACAATTTTCTTATAAGGGGGTTACCCCCGCACTGCAAGGGTTAAGTGCTCATTTTGGTCTAGGTGCAAAAATAACATAGATATACTCACCTGAACCTTGCAGCAGTATGGCTGTTACAACGTTCCCTCCAGCCTCTCTCCTCCTCTACTACAGCAATGTCCAACACTCAGGACCTGCAAGGATCGGGTGAGTATAGCTTTGTTGTTATTTTTGCATCTAGACCAAAATGAGAACTTAACCCTTGCACTGTGGGAGTAGGCCCACTGCAGAGGTTAAGACAATTTTTGCCCAGCGCTCTCCTTTAACCCTTTCGCTGCCACCTTTGTATCTCATACTTCGCTGACAGCGGGCTCCTTTAAACAGACTCTGTTTACATGTGTAAAACTGACTTTCAGCTTCCCGGACTCCGCTGCCCCTCCTCTGGACCAGCATGTCAGGTGTTGTTGGGAATCAGGGAAGCAGACCAACGAACATCCATTCGCCAATCTCCACCCTGCTTTATAGGACCGGAAGCAACGCTAATTGCATCAATTCTGGACCCTCAGATGTCATTGCTTGGCTGCAGGAGACGGGCAATAAGCTATTGGAGCACGATCTGCACTCCAAATGCTTCTTTAGAGTGCAAAGGTGACATTAGGAGTCTCATTAAACCCTAATGTCACCTTAAAGCAGGGGTAGCCAAACTCAGGCCCTCTAGCTGTGGTGAAACTACAAATCCCATGATGCATCTCTCTCCGGGAGTCATGTATGTGGCTGTGAGAATCTTGCAATGCCTCATGGGATTTGTAGTTCCACCACACCTGGAGGGCCGGAGTTTGGCTACCCCTGTCTTAAAGAGTACCTGTTACCACTAGTATGCTATCACATAGGGGGCTTCTAAGCCCCTTTATGTGATAGCAGTTAAGTAACGTAAAAGAAAAAGTTTTATAAAAAGAAGATGAAATAAAGTAAATGTAAAAATAAAAAAAATTAAAGTCCCCCGCCCCAGCAAGCGTGCACATATTAACTTAAACATATGTATGAAAACAATGATCGCGCTATGTATTTTAGGTATAGTCTTGTGTGCCACAGTAAGAGTAATAATTCTAGGGACAAAATGTATGGATATTTCTAAACGCGTGACCTATGCAGGATTTTAAAGTGTCGCCCATGGACAATTTGGGGTAACGTATTTTGTCACCGTTTCACGGACGCACACAATTTTTAACGTGGGCATGTTGGGTATCTATTTACTCATCATAACCTCATCCTATATCTTTTAGAAAAAAATGGGTATTATATTGTGTTTTTGGGCACTAAAAGTATCAAACCCAAAAAGGTAGTAGAAAATTGTTAAAGAGTTGTGCTAATATTGTGCAACACAAAAATTTGCAACTGCCATCATTTTATTCTACAGGGTCTTTGCTTTCAGAAAAAATACAATGTTTTGGAGTTTTAAGTAATTTTCAGGCCTAAAATGTTGATTATAAAATGTTTGCAAAAAAAACACAAAAAAGGCCTTGGCAGCGAAAGAGTTAAAGAGCATTACCTAGTGTAGCTAAGGTTATATATAAAATCAAGGAAAGGCTGCAATAGTATCTAAATGTAAGTAATTATGTGTTCAGAGTTTGTATGTCTTTTTATTTACCGGTACTAAATTTTGGTTTAGTTTTTGATTTTGGTTTTGATTTTGGTTAGGGAATCTTTACTTAATGTTCTTTTTGGGCACATCAGCATGAATGAAAATATATAGAGAGGCTCATGAATGAATGTTCAATTTGCAGTTGTCCGTACTGTACAGCAGGTAAAAAAATAAAATAGATTTGTAAATTCTGACAAAATTCCGTGAATCCAGACATTCAGATCCATCTGAATTCCCAGGAGGCCGAATGCAAATGAATCCAAATGTTCTTTTAATGAAATTTTGGATCATCCGAATTTTGTTCAAAATGAAACTAAATCGGATACGTGACCTTTTCTGGCCAATTAGAAAACCCCGTTCAAAACTAAAACAAAATTCCAAAAGATCCGAAACCTGTAAAAAGAAAAATCCGAAACAGATTTTTTTGCCGGCTTACATGTCTATAAAATAATATACACTAAAGTCCTTCTGTGGGCAATATAAGCACTTCTATTTCCTTCTGGGTTTTCTAAGTCAGGACCATTGTACCCACAGGGGGAGTTATATTGTTTATTTTATATACCACCATGTTCTCTCAGACCGTTTACAATCATACAAAATAAATAATAATACTGTATGATTAGCTTCATAAATGATCAACCAAGCTTGCATTTTATGTTCTGAACACTAGAGGGCATACACTCCTAAGTTTAAAATATTGTGTATGTATATTTATTGATTTATTGCAATAAAACTTTTATCTTACAGGAGCTGGAGCCGGACAGCCATTAGGAGGTTGTTATTATCATTATTATTATTATAATTTCCTATTTTATTAATTTAAACTGTAGAGACTCATACAGATAATCAACTAAAATATTTTTTATTCTGCTTGCAGCCCAAAAACCAGCCAAATCCTACTACAGAGGTAACAACAACATACATATATTTTCATGTTTTTAACTATAGTTAGTGTAAAAAATCCAGTTAGGTATTCTCATTTAGAACGCTCTTCTAGAATGTAATTTCCCGCTCCTGTGATTGGCTCACTGCTGTTCCTGACATTCAGGAAGTAGTATATGGCTGCAGGGGATAGCTCACGAGTGCAATCAATGTGTGGGCATCAATAAAAATAGCAGAAGGTAGGGCTTTGTAATATGTGTAACTGAGAAGAGGACAATTATTTTTTTTTTTCTCAGCAACATAACTATAAAGAAAAAACATAATTAGACAGCTTCTTGTTAGGAAAATTTTGAGTTTATCTGTGTCACAATCTCCCAAAAAATATTAGCTAGAAGCTATAGCTGTGGGTTTTTCTTTTCAAGAGGGTCAAAAGTATACCCACGTATCTAGCCATTGTTCTACTTTCTGATGTTCCTCATCAGATAATATATCCCAGCCTGTAAACATTTGACCTCAGAATGGCCCTCCCTGATTTTGTCACGATCTTTAGTTAGCTTTTCATTGTACGTTGGATAATATATTAGATAGCAGAAAACATTAGCTGTACATTAGATATCAGACTCATAAGGTGTATCCATCCCTTAGATTGTTGAAAGTATGATCGAGCAAGCATTTCTGTCATTACCTTTCCTTCGAGATTTAATGCTCAGATTGCTAAAATATAGATATGAAAGAAAGCTTTAAGATGACCAAAAATGCAAGATGTTAGCATTAGTCCATTAGCCAGTTAGCTCAGCAATCGAGGGATGAAATGATAAGCTTTTGGTCAGTCGTACAGAACATCTACTTGTCTTCATCAGATTTTGTCCCACCACGCTTCAATGTGCTGGAGAGCCTGTAATTTAGCCATTTTCTTCTGCCATCTCTTTTAAGATTTAGTCATTACTGTATTCAGAATGTTTTAACAAAGATGCTTTATAAAATGATTGATGCTGATCCTCACTTGGCCCAGTGGATATTGTAATTCCATCATACAAGTCATTCTGTGGATCAGTACAAGAGATTATCTGATTTTTGCTAAAGCAAATATTTAAAATAATCAATGCCCCCTCCCATTTAAAATGTATTTTTCAGAGAAGATCTCTGCAGTTGTTAGAACAATGTCATGATTAGGCTTTGTAAATCATTTACTAGAGCTAGGACTGCAGGTTAGATTTGAAATCTTCATCTGCAAAAAGTGAGCTGGTTGTGCTTAAATGCTGTTTCTTGTCTCTTGGTCACCTCCCGGTTTAGCTGATACAATTGTAAGATCCGTAGCCTGCAGCGCTGTTTTACTAGTAGAGTCACTTGGGTTATTTGTAGGACCCCACTGCCTAAAGATGTTGCAGGCTAAACTGCTCCCAAATTGATCTCCTTTGGGTCCCCCTCCTCCCATTTCCTTCCTCATGTATCGTTTCCAGTCTTGGCAATCTCCCCCTGAATTTGTTCGTTGGGAAGCACCCAGCTTTTTTATGAATTCCAAGATGTAATGGTGCCGCAAGTATTGTAATGGCCATGGTATTTTCAATACAAGAAAATTGTATAAATATTTTTTTTTATTCTAAATTCTGTATAAATAACGCTCTTCTAGCACTTTTATAAGCTGTTTGGTCTATTGTATACAATTTAAGCAACAATTAATTTAAATTCAATGCAATTTGTTCCAGTGATCTGAACAATATTTCTATGTCAGGGTGATATATAGCTCTAGGTAACGAGGAAACATGGTCTGCTAATGTATCTTTACAGGAAATAAAATCTGCTTTATGCTTCCTCCTGCACTGATTTTCCTTCTGGGATATTCACCTCTGCAGTGCCAGACTAATTTATTTGTAATTGTGTAGTTATATAACTGTAGTACTACAGTCTAGAAATATGTTTTAGATGATAAGATGTGTGACTAATCACAAGCAAACTGGTGACCAGGTAGTGAGTAACTCACTATAAATTATGGATTCTCTGTTAGCCTAAAGCATCCCTCTAAATCCAAGTGTTGGCAAGCAGCTTGTCATTCTTCAACTGGAAATATCAATGGACTTTAGATATTTTTTAAAAAGGAACAAAAAGAATTCAGTTTCTAGCTTTCATTTTCATGCGTGCACTAAAAATAAAAAAACAAAACCTTGAATCTAACTAGTTGCTGTGAGCAAATCCAACTGTTCCCTTTCCTCAGCGTTTAGCTGTTATTGACAAAGTAGAATAAATATGCTGTATCAGGGAAGGATTAAGTCAGAAAGATATCTTAGGCAAGGTAGTAGCTGTGTTCTTCCCATAGCTTTGACTGCCAATGAAAAGGATTGCAATGGCACAGAGACACCATCCATTTGCGCTGTCTGTACATCAGACAATTGCCTATAAAAACACCCTCCCCTTGTTTAGCTGACAGACAAATGCCTTTTATCTCCCGGTTTACTGCAGGAGCATGAAACCTGTAGCTGGGCCCTCTGGACATCCACCAGGCCCTAGACTCCTGCCTAAATTACCTAAATGATGTAATGCAACCTATAGCAAAAATGAGAATTGTGAAAGGTTTAGATGTTAACTTGCCCCAAAACTGATATTTTAGCTTATGGGGAGCTCTAGTGTGTTGAATCATAGGCCGGTTATTTGTATCTAATGAAATTTCCACTGGAGAGTCTTTTAACCCGTTCCACAAGACAAGATATCAACCTCTTTTAGCTCGGCTGTCCAAATCTTTGTTCTATATTAATGAGACTCAAATAGTGGATTGTGACACATGAAAATAACTTTAATAATGGCAATAGGAAATCACTGAGAAGTATGGTGGTAATATTTCATATCTGTAGCACTTTTTTAAAAATGTGAGAAGCCAGCGTGTGATTCAACGTTCCATTAACCACAAAAAAGGAAATACCAATTTTGTGTGAAGAGGAAGCAAAATGAATATCTGCTTTCAGGAAATTAAAATGTTCCCGCTGTGAACTGAAATCCAAAGAAATTGAAGCAACCTTCTAAAAAAAAAACGAAATTTACATTTGCACACTACTTATATATTAATTTCAGTGTACACTATCCTGTTGATAAGTGAATCATCTGTGTTTCTTTTTAGGTGGTGGTCTTTGTGGCCAAGGGAAGTACTGTGGCAGGCGGAGAAAATAACCAGTCAGAGAGCTACGAGTAACCTCATCAACTATGGTGCTACTGCATGGTGTGAATGTAAAAGGATTCAAGTATCCCCCCTGTTTTTTCCACCCTCAAATCCATTCTCTCAATTCCTTCCCCACCCTTCCATCCTCCTGCCCCTTGAACGTCCACCTGTATACAATGAGTCAGGCAGCTACACTTTATGCCATGAGCCTGCAGTCTGACATTAATAAAATGTCAGGCAAACATATACACACAAGTTGATACTGTATGAATATGTCTGTAATGTGTGTATGTGTACGTGCCAATAAATCAGAACACAATCTATGAATGCACATTAAGAAATCTACGGAATTGTGCATACTTGTATACAGTACACTCATCAACAAGTATGGACATACATGCACTATATATATAAATATATTTAAAGTATACAGACGTGCACACATCTATGCATAGGAGTTGGTTGGCATTCATCTAGACCACCATGAGACTACATTGGTCCACTACAGAGGCGGGGGGGGGAAAACCTTCAAAATAAAATCTGCTTTATGCTTCCTCCTGCACTGATTTTCCTTCTGGGATATTCACCTCTGCAGTGCCAGACTAATTTATTTGTAATTGTGTAGTTATATAACTGTAGTACTACAGTCTAGAAATATGTTTTAGATGATAAGATGTGTGACTAATCACAAGCAAACTGGTGACCAGGTAGTGAGTAACTCACTATAAATTATGGATTCTCTGTTAGCCTAAAGCATCCCTCTAAATCCAAGTGTTGGCAAGCAGCTTGTCATTCTTCAACTGGAAATATCAATGGACTTTAGATATTTTTTAAAAAGGAACAAAAAGAATTCAGTTTCTAGCTTTCATTTTCATGCGTGCACTAAAAATAAAAAAACAAAACCTTGAATCTAACTAGTTGCTGTGAGCAAATCCAACTGTTCCCTTTCCTCAGCGTTTAGCTGTTATTGACAAAGTAGAATAAATATGCTGTATCAGGGAAGGATTAAGTCAGAAAGATATCTTAGGCAAGGTAGTAGCTGTGTTCTTCCCATAGCTTTGACTGCCAATGAAAAGGATTGCAATGGCACAGAGACACCATCCATTTGCGCTGTCTGTACATCAGACAATTGCCTATAAAAACACCCTCCCCTTGTTTAGCTGACAGACAAATGCCTTTTATCTCCCGGTTTACTGCAGGAGCATGAAACCTGTAGCTGGGCCCTCTGGACATCCACCAGGCCCTAGACTCCTGCCTAAATTACCTAAATGATGTAATGCAACCTATAGCAAAAATGAGAATTGTGAAAGGTTTAGATGTTAACTTGCCCCAAAACTGATATTTTAGCTTATGGGGAGCTCTAGTGTGTTGAATCATAGGCCGGTTATTTGTATCTAATGAAATTTCCACTGGAGAGTCTTTTAACCCGTTCCACAAGACAAGATATCAACCTCTTTTAGCTCGGCTGTCCAAATCTTTGTTCTATATTAATGAGACTCAAATAGTGGATTGTGACACATGAAAATAACTTTAATAATGGCAATAGGAAATCACTGAGAAGTATGGTGGTAATATTTCATATCTGTAGCACTTTTTTAAAAATGTGAGAAGCCAGCGTGTGATTCAACGTTCCATTAACCACAAAAAAGGAAATACCAATTTTGTGTGAAGAGGAAGCAAAATGAATATCTGCTTTCAGGAAATTAAAATGTTCCCGCTGTGAACTGAAATCCAAAGAAATTGAAGCAACCTTCTAAAAAAAAAACGAAATTTACATTTGCACACTACTTATATATTAATTTCAGTGTACACTATCCTGTTGATAAGTGAATCATCTGTGTTTCTTTTTAGGTGGTGGTCTTTGTGGCCAAGGGAAGTACTGTGGCAGGCGGAGAAAATAACCAGTCAGAGAGCTACGAGTAACCTCATCAACTATGGTGCTACTGCATGGTGTGAATGTAAAAGGATTCAAGTATCCCCCCTGTTTTTTCCACCCTCAAATCCATTCTCTCAATTCCTTCCCCACCCTTCCATCCTCCTGCCCCTTGAACGTCCACCTGTATACAATGAGTCAGGCAGCTACACTTTATGCCATGAGCCTGCAGTCTGACATTAATAAAATGTCAGGCAAACATATACACACAAGTTGATACTGTATGAATATGTCTGTAATGTGTGTATGTGTACGTGCCAATAAATCAGAACACAATCTATGAATGCACATTAAGAAATCTACGGAATTGTGCATACTTGTATACAGTACACTCATCAACAAGTATGGACATACATGCACTATATATATAAATATATTTAAAGTATACAGACGTGCACACATCTATGCATAGGAGTTGGTTGGCATTCATCTAGACCACCATGAGACTACATTGGTCCACTACAGAGGCGGGTGAAGTAAAACCTGCAAAATAGTGCTGGTAAATACTACCATGACTTGATCTTAAACAGATAAGTATTGGTAAAGCCAAATACAAACTCAATTGTGTAACCTTGTAGGTTATTTTGCCTCTGTCAGGATAAATATAGTGGAAATACAAGGACTACTGGTGGCCTGGTACTGGGCCAGTAAATAAGATTTGCTCCACCTGTTTAAGAGCTGCCAATCAACCCCTTCTTCTGACCCATTGTCTTGTTCCTGTCTCTCACACCATGGCCCCAATAAGTTGTTGTTGCTGTAACTTATCCTTGGAATTAAATCCATTGTAATGCAATTGGCCTGCGACTGTACAGGATATTTTTTTTATATATGTTATTTGTCTTAATAAAGTGTGTGACTTCTCCCTCTCCCCGGGGGGAGCGTGATGGAAGAGATTTCAGAAGCATCATCCTTGAAATTTACATATTTCCTACCTTTTTGCAATAAAATGCAGAGCTTTTTTTTTTTTACTTGTGCCATTCTCTGCAGATCTGTTAAAAGTGGGAGGCATTACCCTTTATTTTCAGGGGTGCCTACCAAAGCTTCTCTGAAGTTAGGGAGAGAGACAATGTCAAGAGAGCAGGGAACAAGAACTGATATACTTGTAATTATTATTTTTATTTGTCTCTAAATACATGTGTAACATATTTAAACCTTGAGGCATGGAAGAAATTAAAAGTAAAAATAAAGATTGTGAGATTAGGTAGAGTGAAGTCTCCCCCCTCTCAGGCTTTGTCTTCGCTCCGTCTTCCCCGCTAACCAAAAAAGCTGCAGGAAGCTCTAGAGTCTTCCACCCAATGTCTTTGGTTGTGAGGGGGTGTGTTTGATGTGTGAATGCCTTAGTTTACTGACCACCCCCTCATATTCCTCCTCTCAATGTATTCCCTCTTTTACTGCCTCCAATGGAAAAAAAATACACTTTTTTTGTAAAAATAATACTGAAAAAAAGTTATTAAAAGTAATTTTGCTTAAATAAGAATAAAGAAATCTTTTTAATTGAAATATTGTTTGGGTTTTTTTTTACACTTTGGTTACTGAGATGCCTATGGCTAATAAATCTTGATGCCCTACTGCTGTACAGATTCATGGATCAAGAAAGTAGAAAGTCTGTTTTATCAAACCTTTTCAAAATGAAAGTGAATCTAAACCAAAGGTTTTTTGATAGAGCAGTTCAAACTCCTGTCAGGGTTTTATTGCTGTCCATGTACCATTAGGGAAAATACTTTCCCTTCCTGTGCCAGAGACACAACAAGAAGTGAAAAGTTATATCCTTTTAGCTATCAAATATACGGGTGTTCGCAGTTGAAGAGTTATCTATTTAGTCCATATATTTCTACTCAGATAACTACTAAAAGCCCAGGACTGTCCCTAAGGTATTCGCCGCCTGAGGTATTGTGCTGTTGTTCAGGAAAGGGGGGTGGGGTTGGGGAGGCTGGAGTGCTGGCAGGGAACGGTCACTGGTTGCGCTCAATTGTCGTTCAGGTGGGGATTGAGACGGATGCCGCTCAGATCACTGATGTCACCGGTTGCCAGTAGCTAGGAGGAATGCATGCCACAGTGTCCTGCTCAGCATCTGGCAAGCGGTGATGTCAGTGAGCTGGCCAGGACGTCACATGTTGCTAAGTGCAGCTTTGCTAATGCCATTAAAAAACTATTCTGTTCCAATTTGGGAATGCTAAACACAAATCTTAATGGGAGCGCGTACTGTCACTTTAAATAAGCTTCTAGCAGGCTTCAGCAGGCTATAAGCAAGCTTCAGTTGTGCTTAAACATATTGAAGCCTGCTACTAGTTTGTCTTAAGTGACAGTCAGCACCCCCATTAAGATTTGTGTATAACCTTCCCTCTCTGAAGCTAAATGATACTTTAAAGTCTCCAACAAAGTTATCTGAAAGCTCTGCAAATGTTTTTCAGAAGCTTGCTGTTAATGCTGCTCTTTTTTAAAGCTGAAGCCTGTGTGATCAAGACCTCATAGATTACAATTTCTATTATGTTCTGTTCCAGAGACAATAGTCCCCAGGGCAAATAAAGAAGGTGAATCTGCTCAGTGGGGTCACAGAGTTGACAGAAGTTCTAAACTAGCACTATATCAAAAACGAAAAAGGTTTTTTTGTGGTTTGAGATATACTTTAAATAGCGAGGTAAAGATGAAGATGAAGATGCATTTGAAACAGTTCATAAAGACCATGCATTATAGTTTAAAACATGTGTGAAGTAAAGGGTGCACAGCCTCCTTTTTGGTAGGACCTAGGACTCTATTACCAGAGAAAGCGTGTGCCCTGCCATATTATGGGATTTGTAAAATCTGAGCAAAGTCTTAAACTCAACAGTGTGTATAGTTAGTGGATTCCGAATACAGATTATTTATGTTCTTCTTTAAAGGTAACTCATGGTGTAAGTGGGAGGTATTCAGATCTAGGTCATAATAGCTACACATCAAAAGTAAGGCCAACAAGGAACAAAGACTTCCTACTCTGGTATATAGGTGTTTTCTGTCTAGATATAGTTGTATTGCACATCCCCCCCCCGCCCCCC